TGTTCTCCTCATAATTGGCGCATGCGAGGAAGGAGATGAAGGCCAATTCATCCACGAGGATGACCAACCTTGAATGCAATGTTGCGCTTAAGGGGTGAATAATGTTATGAGACGGCCTATCATGAAAATTTGGCATTTTCTGACCCCATTTATTTTAGTAGTTTATTTAGTTAAGTTTGTATTTCAGTTAAAAATACGCTTTTACGCTTCTAGGTCAACAAAATGCTTTTACGCAAAAACTCAGTTTTTATAACTAATGTAGTTAAAAGCGTGCTTTAAACCTTAAAAACTTACTATTTTACGCTTCTATATCACTAAAACGCTTCTGCGTAGAAACGCACTTTTGACTACATTGCTTATAAGTTCATTAGACCTCTAACAATTTTCGTAAAACATTCACATTTTTGTTATGGACTCGTCCAGAATGATTGTAACTAATTTAAATTCTCTAACAAGCATATGATTCTAGATTCGTTAACTATAGACGTACCTATAAACAAGGGCACCTTGAACTTGGAGCGATCCCAGGTTCGCTAAGTAGTACTTAAACCACAAAAAATAAACCTATATCATCCTTATTAAAAAAAAACTTTAGACATACCTTTCATATGTTACCTCTAATTTTATCCTAATGTGTTTTTCATTTGACACAAGATATAATTGTTAGTGTTGAATTTTGAAGGCTTAATCGTGAAATGTCCCCGGACTATAGTACTATATGGCATAGTTAGTAAAATACGGAACGTCAAAGTTATGTATAATATACGTACGGGTATTTTACTTCATCTCTAAACTATTGTTACGTTTAATAGTGCGTTAATAGTCATAAATATATAAAAATAATTATTTAAAAATAAATAAATATATAAAATAGTAAAGTTAACAATTTAATTCATTGAATACAGATATTAAACGTGTTATACATGTTATATACGTCAATAATATAGATACAAAAATTTTAAACGGATAAATTACATACGAGTATATATAGAAGTATTTATTGTTGTATAGTTACAGGTCGAGAACCCTTGGCAACAAAAAAAATCATGTTGCATTGTGTCTAAGCCCAAACAAGATAGGGTAGAATAAACCGCTTAATGATCGATTCTACCATGTGGCGGGATGGGAACATGCGATGGGTAACATGGATGAATGATAAAATCACATTGAAGCATGGCGAGATGAGGAAAAAATGTGAATGAGCGGAGGATGTAGAACATAGTAGAGCATTGGGTCGTGTTTTATTAGAAAATTAGATATCATAAAATAAATTCATATTTTTTTACCATATCAATCGTACATGTCGATTTTTTAATATAGTAAATTATCAATAATAGAGTATACATCCATACCAATAACATATTACTCACTTTCAGATAAAATATATACCAATCTGCGAGAAATTCATCGCTCATTTGGTTGTGCAAATCGTTTTTCACCTTTTTCATTATTGAAAAGGTTCTCTCCATAGTAGCTGTTGAAACTACCAATGTCAACATTAGACTAATCAATCGACTAATCGATTTGTATTGTGTGTCTATCCCTATTATGGTTCCATTGTTTGTTTTTTCTTTAGACGATAATAATTGGAGCTAGAATTTCTAGATTAAATTTAGAATTGTGATTTGAATATGTTGATCAGACTCATTTTCCTAATTACATACAATTTTATTACAAAATAACACTACGTCGAATGGCTAAATTCGATAAACTTATAAGGATTATACTAACTCCGAATCTAGAGGAGGCTGGGTCGTGCCTGAGTGGCCACCCCTAGATCCGCCACTGATGGGACCTATTTTAGAGTCTGACTATGAACAAAAACATATGTGGCTTCCAAGTGAGACAAAGGACGGCTGATTTGAGCTTAGCAGAATTGTTTGGTCTCTCCATGTACAATGGAAAAGACAAAGGTGCATCACCAGTTGCCACACATATATATAGTTTAATTTGTTGTTTGTCTTGGTGTCCGAGGCCATGTGTTTCCAATCCTACACGACACAAGTTATTCGGTGGGGGTACGGCGGTCTTTCTACAGTTTGTCATTTTTTTGCTGTATTTGATTAAGATTACACATTTACAATTTTATATTTCCTACGTTAAAACAAAAAAATTAGTGGTTTATAGTTTAGTAGTATCGTTATAGAACTGTTGGTTGATAGAATCGTCCATGCATTATAGTATAAAAACGTATATAATATACAAATTTAGTACTAAATTTATCACCAATCATAAACCATTTCAAATCCATGTCATTTATCACCAATAATTCTTACAAGTCAATCAAACTATCTCACACAATAAACCATACAAATTTTGTTTATTAATTTTAGTTAGTAATCAGGGTGGCGATCCGTAGTAGACAACACAAAGTCGACAAGGAGGCTGGTAAACGAAGAAGAGGAAACATGGATAAAATTAGTCATTTAAGCTGGATAATCTTAGTTTACATTATAAAAAATTTCTCAATTTTTTGTGTGGTTAAAATAATATACTAGTGAGGCAGTCAAATCGGGATGGTTCATATGATTTTATGCCAAACCTTAAAAATCATAGGTCCATCCCAAGACGTCCAAGCAAGTGAACCGAACTAGTATGATAACTGGTTTGGTGATTCTATTGGTTATGCAGTGGTAAGGTTCAGTTCTTGTAATAAGGAACTAATTAAGACTTCACTATTCTCTTCCATTATCTCAATCTTTGGCTTCGGGTCTTCTAACCAACATCATTTGAAAATTGAAACGAACTATGTGAATTTTCTCGTTGGCTTATGTTGGAATCTTAGAATTAGAAACATATTATAATCACTGTACCTAACTAACTACCTCTTCAGTTTCGGGACGAACAATAAGTAATGGCCGGACAATGGTAGGCTTAAATGTAGGGCCGGCCGGCCAACGAATAAGAATGTCGACAGACGACAATGGCCGGCAATACCAAGATTAAGGTGGTGATAAAGATAAGCAGGTCATACAATACAAGAAGTGAAGAAAGTGTCACTGACAGATTCAAACGTGTCACAGGTCGATGCAATCAGCAAGTACATCAAGAGAATTGTTGCAAAAAAAGTGTTTGAAATGCTAGAAAGAGATGTTGATAAAAATTTGGAAGAAATGTTTCCAGGCTGAAGCTTCAGCTTATAAAAGCTTGTCTCTTAATGCTAAATTAAGGCCAAATATGTATTAACAAAGATCTGTAGAAACCCAATATCATAATATAATATAATAGTGGTAGGATGCGTGTAAATTTTTTGTTCCAAAAAAATATCTAAATGGATGTCATCTTGTTTAACACACAAAAAAAAAATACAATTTTCTCAAAGCATAATTTTTTAAAATTCGATTTTAAAACGAATGAGATTGTATGTTAAAGATTTGTAGAAGATTAGGAAAAAAAAATTAACTGCTGCCTAAAATTTTTGCATCAGCATCCAAAAAACGCTTCGATTATCCTACAAAATCATTGATTTTTCTTCGTACCCTATGCTAAAGTAAACCCATCAATATTATTGAATTGTGAAGTTCTGCACTACCTTAAATTCTGCATAGCAATTAGCAATCCAGTGCAAAGAAAATGAACTCCTTTGGGAAGATGAGATACCAACAACCCAAATTATACCAATTGGTGGTATGCGGAATAATTCGATTCGCCGGCTTTCCTCACTCTATAAAAAAAATAAAAATAACACAAAATTGGGGATTGCACCAAGTGTATGTATCCCGTACGAAAGCCCCAGTAATTAAATTAAATATATAATAATGCCCACAACAATATGACCTAGGTGGGAAATAAACTAAAAAATTCTTGAAAGATAAACAAATAGGCGTGATTAGGATCATGATTAAGACGTCAAAGTGGCTGTTAGGTTGTGAGTCTAATGCTATTTAATTTATTTTGTGGGTCAATAATAAACTCGCTCGGCTCGCCCATTCATGCCGGGCGGGCCAGCCTGTCATGTCATCTCCCCGCCAAAAGACCCAATTCTTCGCCCGCCAAGACTGAAAAACAGCAACCTTCCCCGGGGTAAATTACGTCCATGGTCACTTAACTCTCTCATAGTTATTATTTTGGCCACTAAAGCTTACCTTAGTTCCCAACATCCCTTACATGTTATTATAACCATAATGATATCTCCTAGGATGGCAGAAAAATACTCAATAGTTTGGGTATTGTCAGAACCAATCTTAGTATGGGGTAAAATTAGGTTACAGACTCATACCCAGCTTTTCAGTTTGGATTTAAATTGGACTCGTAGCATTAGGTACATAAAACAAAATGGATACCCGATTCTAATGCAAATTTTATTTTATTAGTTTTGTCATGAAATAAATAGAAAGGTGGAAACACCATCATTAAATGTGTAACAGGGTTGAAACCTGAAACCGTCAATGAGATGCCCGATATTATTATATTTTAGTGTGTCCATTCATCTGGACCCAAATGAGCTAACACAAATTGAATCCATTTTATACCCAATCCACAAATCCAAAACTATTAACAATGCATATGAGTCCATTTGGGTCTGACCCAGTACTCATACGAGTCATGATATTTTGTTCAAATTATCCAACAAGTCAACTCGTTACCATTATGAATACCTCCTTATGTACTCATTGTTTGCGTTATGTATAAACGAATATAAATAGGCAAGTTGCCTTCAAACTCGAGTGATAAAATTTCCAAACAAAAGTCATAGTGCCAGGTTTAGGAGTGTGCAATGGTCCGTCCCGGACTAGACCAAACTCATTCGATCCCATAATGAAAGTAATTTTAGAACCAAGGACTGAACCATCATTGCATAGGATTTGATTTGGTCTTATTTGATCTGATCCAAATATCAATTCGTCCATTTTTCTTCAATACTTATAAAATTCATAACATCAAAGACCAAAAGACATTATATATTGTTCGAACCGAGACAGACCAAATCGTTGCACCAAAACTGAAAATTAGTAACTCAATAAATTAAACTGTAAGTGGTTTAGAGGACCAGACTAGAACTTATGAAACAACCTAGTGACTTTCACGTGTATTTGCTTCACAGTCAAACTAACACACCCGAACCGAGGAAATGAGGGGGGCACATTTTTTGTACACATTTCTCAATTTCTAGAGGAGAAAGAAAGACAAACAACCTTGAATAATCAAACCCCCACAATTGGGGATTAAACAAAAACACAAAATGGGGAAAGAAGAAGCATACGAAACGAAAGGGGGATGGGGAGGAAGAATGGACAAAATTCAGCATAAAGTCTGCTCTTCAGCACTCCCTTGGAATTGAATCTTCTCTCTGTATATATATTCTTTTCTCCAACAGATCAGAGTCCCAAATCTTTACACCATCCCCCATCTCTCTCCAGCTTCTCCCATTTCACACTCCACCACCGCCATGGAGACACTAGTTCGCAGCACCACCACCACCTTCGCCCGCCGGCGGTCGAATGGATACGAGCAGCTTGACCCTTACTACGAACCCACCACCGCCCCTCAACACCACCACGACGACAACGACGACGTTTCCTCCTTCCCCTGCACCCCCAAGAAGCGCACCCCATCCAGGCGCCGGGTCGCCGCCACGGCTTTGGACCAGAGAACGCCGGCGCGGGCGACTATGGCGGTGGCTTGGTCGCCTGGGTACAGAATCACGAGGGCGAGGCAGAGGCAGATATTCCTGAGGTCGTACCAGTTGGCTTCGGGGAGCAAACTTCAGAGGCGGCTGTCGAGAACAGGGAGGCTGAAGAAAGTGGCGGTGAAGGTGAAGATGGTGGTGGCTTCGCTGGTGGTTTCGTTCATGAAAGTCGGCGGCGGGTTGAGATCGTCTTGTAGCTCTAAGGTGGCCACTTGCGTCGCCTCCCCCGTTAAAATTAGCAGGTTTTGCTGATCCCCTGTTTCCTAATTGGCTGTCCTCTGCCTCTGCCTCTGCTCCGCGGGTAATAAGATTATTAAGAGCTACTGATTGGATTGGGGTTCGATTGGAACGGATTGATGTTCATCCCAGGAGGGAAATTTCCAACTCCGATCAGGAATTATTTGGGTTTGTTCATAGTGTATGATTCTGGTGGTGTTGTTGAATTTATCAGAGGTATAATGCTTGTTCAGCCGCGGCGGCTTCCTTTACTCTGTTTTCTTCTTTTTGCAATCCTTTTTTACTCATTGGGCAAACGAAAAGAGAGGTTCTTTGCGTAATCCCCATTAACCATATGACCATGGGAAATAAACTTAATTTTTTCTTTTTTGAAAGATACACAAAGAGTTGTGATTAGGATGATTATTAAGACGTCAAAGTGCCGGTTAGATGTGAATCTATTGTTGTTTTTGTGGGTCAATGAAGCCGAGCTCAAATGTTTGAATATGTTATTCTTCAGGAAGCGTCATTTTATTCTTAATAGATAGTCTTATATCGCATTGATCGGACTAGTCAGTTATATGCAAAATATTCTCTTAAAGTACACTATTTTCATTTGTAATTAGTGGACGAAAATATTACAAAATCCATAAGGTCAGACGGAAACTTTTAGCAATATCACCCCTTCTTTGGCCTTGATTGTGACGCTAGATATATAGCATCATCGCTATTCATTTTGTGTCGTAAGTCATTAATTCTAACGTCTGGTTATCGATTGACTGGTCGAATTGCAATGGTCGACTGATCTTTTTTTCTAGGCGATGTCGCTAGTTTTCAGGCGCAAGTTGACATGCAATCTTTTGATTCTCTCAACCATAACTGACCCTCTCTCCCTTTCCCCATTCTCTATTTTCGGAGACCTAACTTCATTTCCTCCTCTAATTCGAAACCAGAAGCACAATCCATCCCCAAACCTCAACTTTCTATCACATTGTGACACACAGGATTAGAAGTCTCCTCCCCTCTTCACGCTTACTTCTCTATGTGTGACGCTGAAATTGACGGTGCGTGGATTGGCTAGCCTTCATATCACCGTTGTTAGTCTTCTCACAAACTATAATGTCTCATTATAAAGGTGAGGACAACAAGCTATTCCTATCGCCTTAGATATTATTGACTGAATTCAAGAGATATTTGTAGCGAATTGAGAGCGAAGAGGAGAGTCATAGACTTTTGCCCTGTTCCTAACATGACTACTTTGAGGGTGGATGTGCTTTTAGGATGTGATTGGAATTATCTTCTAATGACATGTTCCTTCAGCGTGTTGGATGCTTCAATCCTCGAGTTAAAAGAAATATCATGATAGAAATTTCTCCTTTCATTCTAATTATACCTTTTTGGTATTTCTGAACAATGATTTCGTCCACCACTTAGAAATCGAATTAGTTAATTTTAAGCATTTATTTTGTAAATTTGTCTTAGTTAGAATGAAGGTCTTTTTTCTGGTAGAATCATCAACCACCAAAGCGATTTGTAGAATAAGGAATATTAGAAGAAATTTGTGACAATTAGACTATCAAACTCACAATCTAAATTCAAAATAGGGTGCATAACCCTTGCAGAAGACGTGTCATGTAACTCGGCTAAATATCTTGTCTCTGCCTATATCATCCAATACAATTTCACAAACCATACTTATAATCCTAGCATTTTTTGAAAGAGATATTTTCTCATATGAGCTCTTATTTTTTACTGAATGCAGGCGTAACACTAAAGAACAAAGATAAAAGGATGTTCTGGGTGGACCCTAATTGTGTTAAAGAAACCACGAAGGAAAAGCTAGCAGTACAATTCATACCGGAAGCATCAGGCTTCCTAGTTGAAAATCAGTTGGCATTCACCAAGACCCGTACAGGGAAGCTAACTTCGATTAGGTCTTCTCAAAGTATTTTTCAAAATCAGTAGATAGTTCGGTAAGTTTATACGTATAACATACTATAATAGTCATTTGTATGTGTTACCCCCACTTACTATTAAAGTGTCATTCAAATATGTGAAGAAATAAAATAAAATAAAAAATAAAACCATCATCAAACGCTACTCGTTACCCTCCAAATTCCAAAAGGAATTTTGCTTTTGTTTAAAGTCGCCTAACTGGCTTTGGTTTCTTTAAAATGGGGGAAAACAGTAGCCCATTTAATATTTCGGAACTTATTCTTTTTAATTTTTATAAGAAGCGAAAGTGTCAAAGGAAGGTCAGGGGAATTAAGAACTTGCCCTAAAGGAGTTGCTTAACAGTAGATTGCGATTTCGGTTTCTTAAAAAAAAAAAAAAAAAAAAAGAGTCAGGCCTAGTATATATGAGAAGATTGGGGATCAAGGGTTGTTAAAAATGTGTCAAATGAGATTTTCTTGACATTTTTTAAAATTTTCGTGATTTATAAACTTATAAACACTGGTCTCGCCCTTTCTTTTCCCCCTTAATATTGAAATAATATGCTCACAAACCATAATTTTACTTTTTACAACATTTTAAAACAAGACTTGTTTATTCATTTGATGTAGAAAATATTTCAAGTCCGTTATTTATTTATATATAATAACTAAAAACCCAATGTTTTTTTTTATCTAGACCGGTTTCTATCGATTTTTATGGGTAATTGATAATCTCAACCATTAAGATTAGATCCAACCCTACATGTTTTCCTAATTTTTTTCCAGAGAAATATATGTGTGTAAAACTGGATCATAATGAATATGATTTTATTCATCATCCATTTAGAGTTACACTAATTATAATTTGAACGGGAAGTAGAACAACTTGGAATGCTAGTTAGTATTATTATTAGGGTTAATATTTTTGTACGACCTGAACTTTGACCAAAATAAACATTCTGGCTAATCTTTTCGATCTATAACATCCTGACCCGAACTATACACCAAAATAAACAATTTGGCCAAACCCGATGTTTGACCGTTAACTTGGACGGTCAAACGCGTTGACTTATGGTCAAACGCGTTGACTTACGGTCAACGCGCCACGTCACTGCCAAGTCAGAAGATTTGATAAATATTTAATTTTTTCGTTTTTAATTTTGGTTTAACTAAGGTATTAGATTATTTTTTTTAATTTATAATAATTTAAAATTAGGGAATGTGTGGAAATTGTGAATTATTTTAAATATTTTATGCTGACTTGGCAGTGACATGGCGTGTTGACTAACGGTCAACGCGTTTGACCGTCCAAGTTAACGGTCAAACATCGGGTTTGGCCAAATTGTTTATTTTGGTGTATAGTTCGGGCCAGGATGTTATAGATCGAAAAGATTGGACAGGATGTTTATTTTGGTCAAAGTTCAGGTCATACGAAAATATTAACCCTTATTATTATTATTATTATTATTATTATTATTATATAAAACTGAAGCTTAGTTACTGTTGCCTAAAAAAATATCATTTTGGTACTCCAAATTTAATTAAATTACAACTTAGTCATTAGAATGTACATTTTACATTTTACCCAAATTTAATTTTAGTGTAAAATTATTGAACAATTATTTTTTGGTATTTAAATTTTGTGAGATTTTCGTATCTACAATTTTTTAGATTTGCATATTTGACGGCCAAATTATGTGTCGGGCCAATTGAGTATATATGCTGCATAGTTGAGGCCATCATGTTAATTTCTGAACCCATGGGCCAAAGTTGATTATATGGTCATAGTTCGGGCCAAAATAAGGTATTAACCCTATTTTGTTAGATGTAGTTACTAGTTAGTAGAAGTTTGTTTAGTACCCCATAAATGTACTAAATGCATGAGTTTATAAATTCGCTCTTGCGATATTTTAGAGTCGTCTCTCTTTTATCATTTCTTTACTATTTCACGTAATGAGCACATATAAAATGGTCATATCTTCTGCTACAATTGAGTGATACAACATATTGTATGATACAAACTAAATTTACTTTTACTTTATGGTGGATTGGATTCATAGATTGGTTCAATAAGATTGGTGGATCCGGATTCATGGATTCAAGTGAAATCTAAACATTGGACCAATATGTAAATCTAAAAAATTGTAGATACAAAAATCTCATAAAATTTAAATACCAAAACATAATTGTTCAATAATTTTACACTAAAATTAAATTTGGGGTATCAAAATGTAAAATGTACATTCTAATGACTAAGATGTAATTTAATGACTTAAACTATCTAAAAGTAAATGACGTGTACATAAAAAAAAGAAAGTAAAAAAAAGCTAACAACTCAATTAATCACCCCCTAACCACCACCACCCCAATTTGCAACCCTAAGCGGCAGCGCTACTCTCCCTCTCTCTTTCAATCACCCCAACCTTCATCTCACCATCTGCTTCTTCTTTGATCGATTCTTCTAATCCTTCACAAAACACTATCGATGATCCCCTCCATGACTTCATCCCTTCTTCTCTCTCAAACTCCATATGCCTCTCTCTCTCTCTCTCTTTCTGAAGACGGCTAGAGGAAAGTAAAAGGAATACAACGACGGCGATGATGGTGCGGTTAATCGTTGCCAATGATGACGACGACGACCAAGGACAACTGCTCAATTGAGAAAGCCCACCCACCCTTCATTCTGAGAACCGACTGGTCGGTTTGAACTGTTCAAGCGGTTAGCCATTTGAACCGTTAATCGGCCAGTTAGTTGAACTATAGCATTTTAGGTGTTCCGAGCCGGACTGGTGGCCAGGTTCAGGTTTTGCCGGTTCGACCAATTGGTTCGGCTCGGTTTTGATAACACTGGTTTAAACATTGTCAAATACATCCCTATTTCGTTCATATTTGATTTTGATGTGATTATAGGGTGTATTAGTCAATATGTGCAAATTAGGTACAAAACAAAGTCACAAGTGTAGAAAAGGGGTAAGGATCAAAGATCGTGACCTATAAGCCAAAGATCGGCCGCGAATTTCCTGTCGTGAATACTCGCTGGAGATCGTGTCCCAGAAGCCAAAGATCGTGACCGCGATCTTGAAGGTCCAGGGGGCGAACTTCGCGTGGAAGGAGCCTTGGAAAAGCAAAGAGTTTCTCCAGTCGCATCACGACCAACGTTCACTTTGTCAGCGAGGAAGATCACGGTCACGACGCGAGGATCGCGACCGCGAAGTCAGCTCGCGATCTTCCCCCTTTAGAAGGTCATGATGTCGTCTTGATATCGTGACCTATCCTCAGAAGATCCCGCCTGCGATCTCCTAGCCTCAGGCTGCGAACTTCCCCGAGTCTAGAATGCCTATAAATAGAAGACCCCTTTCCCCTTTTCAAGAGAGCTGATTTTGGGTGAAATTTTAGGATCTAGAGAGAGAAGAGAGAGAAGCTAGAGGGAGAAGAAGAGAAGGAGAAGAAGGAGCTAGGAGCAAGGAGGATCTTCCCCAACTTCAAGTCTTCTTCTATTTCTACCATGTATCTTCTTCCCTCCTTTATGGAGTAAACCTCTTAGGTACTAGGGGTTCTAAACCTCAAACCTTAGTTTTAGGGTTTATTATGTATGTATGTATGTATGTATGTATGTATGTATGTATGAATATTTTAGGGTTTCAATGGATGAATGTGGTTAATTTGGAGTGTGACACCCCTTAGACTCCAGATAACCTGTTTCCTTTAGCAATTCAACGCAATATTTCCTCTGGCATACACTTATCCCACTAGTTGTTCTGTTGATTTCCAGACCCAGAAAATACTTCAAGGGACCAAGTAATTTCATCTTGAACTCTTGACTCATAATTTTCTTTACTTGTTCTATGTCCTTCAGTGCATCTCCACCTATGATAATGTCATCAACATATATCAACAACACTACAATCCTGCCACAAATCCACTTGGTAAACAAGGAGTAATCAGCAGATTAACTAAAACCATTTTTAAGAAGGAAATTGCCCAGTTTAGCAAACATTGTCTCGAGGCTTGCTTTAGCCCATAGAGAGATTTTTTTAGTCTACAAACCATCTTCTGAGGTCCATTGTGTTCCAAATCCAACCTTGGTGGCAACTGCATATAAACTTCCTCATTTAAGTCTCCATTGAAAAAGGCATTTGTCACATCCATCTATTCCAAAGTCCAGTTCTTCACAGCTGCAATTGCTAATAAAGCCTTAACTGAATTGATCTTGGCTACATGTAAGAAGGTGCCCAGAAAGTCAATTCCATAGACTTGAGTGTAACCTTTTGCTACTAGTCTTGATTTGAACCTTTTAATTAATCCATCCTACTTTAGTTTAATCTTGTAAACCCATTTATTTCCAATAACCTTCTTCCCTTCAGGTAATGGAACTATATCCCACGTTTGATTCTCTTTAAGGGAAGAGCTTCCCTCATGGCTTTTCTCCAGTGTTCATGTTTTGTAGCCTCTTGATAAGTGAGTGGTTCCTCCTGTTGGATAATGCTTAAAGCATATGTCCTGTCATCAGCATTCAAATGGTCTACATTTAGTGCTATAGGGTATCTGCTGACAGATACAGTGTTGCCAAAAGCCCCAAACTTCAAGGAAGGATCTAGCGCACAATTATCAAGCTTACTTGGTAAGTGATAATTGCGTTTAGGTCTAGCTGGGGGTTCAAAATCTTGTCGAGGTTCAACTTCTAATTCAAGTTCAACAATATCAACAATATCATGCACTTCAGTATCAGCCAGTACCTCCCCCTCATAAACTGAGACTGGATCAGGAGACAATGTAGATTGAGGGTTAGAAGTGCTAGGAATGGCTAAGTCAGAAGGTGGACTAGGATCAGGAGGAGTTGGATCAAGGCTAGGTG